TTGTAGGGCAAGATAATAAAACTAATTAATTGTGAGGTACACAGCTATTAGAGTGAGAGAGGCCATAAAAACACCTAGATGGTGTTGGGGGTTGGGGTGGGGTTTTTTTGGGGTTTTTTGCACTGAATAAAATGTGATTGATATAGGTGAAAGTAGAAGGCAGGGCATGGTAGCACTTTAAAGATAAACAGGTTCAGAAAGGCATAAACTTTCATAGGTAGCAGTCTGTTTTTATCAGATGCGATGAATGGACTTAAATTGAAATGGAGCACAAAAAAAATTGAATGCTATTGTGGTAAAGCTTAAAGCTTAAGTACTTTGTAGCTTTCTCCTGGTAAGCTTTTTGTCCTCTAAATAAGATGTTTCTTCTCAACATTTTTTTTTTTTTTTTTAATTTGAAGATAAATTCTAAGTGGGAATACTTAAGTTACTGAGGCTTAAAAGACAGACTTGCTAATTTGTTTATAGTTGTCAGTGTTGGAACAGCATTTTTCTGTCTCTTTATCAAGCTTGATTAATTAGTTAAAAGAAACTCTAATAACTTTGTGTAGTCAAAAGGTAATATCTCCTGGATAAAACTGCTGTCATAAAGTTGGCATCTGTTTGTGCAATGTAATTGTTTTGACATTCTTAAAAGTGTTGTGGTTTACATATTACAGTTACATAAACTTGGAATCTGCAAGCACTTAAATTATGATATTTGAGAATTCTGACTGAACCATGTAAAGCTTGGAATAAACTAATTCATTTTGTTCTGTTTTATCTGAAGGCCATTTAGATATGGTTCGCTTTCTGCTTGAAGCCGGAGCTGATCAAGAACATAAAACAGATGAGATGCATACAGCTCTAATGGAGGCCTGCATGGTAAATAGCCTTTACTGAATCAGCTTGGTTGAAAAAGTGGTAAAAGGAATTGGGGTGAAATAAAACAAGTTTTTATAGATCAGACATATCCAAAATAACTTTTTTTTAGTTGTCCTTCTAGGCAGATCTCTAAAAAATATTTTAAAGAAGACTGCATAACTCTCACTTCTTACTTTCTGGGGGCAAAAAAAATGTCAAGAAGTTTTTATATGTAGCTTTTCCTGCTGTACAGTATAGAATGCAGTTGACTTGTAGTATTGAGGAATAATTCAGCAGTTTAAACAGCCAAAGCCATCTACTACTGTGTTTTGAACATGAAGATACTGAGAAGGAAGGCTGCTTGTATTCTAAATACATTTTTACAGACTCATCCTTGTTAAGAGAGCTTTCCAGTAGTGTCTCGAGCATCATAACATGTATATTATCCTATGTTTTTCTCATCTTCTCTAGAGGAAAACATGAGTGGGGTGCCATGTTTTGGTATGGGATTTTTTTTTTGTTCTAGCTTTTTAAGATGTTTCTATGTCTTTTTCACACACAAGTGTGGTCTTCCACTTGGCATGGAAAATGAGGTGATTTGTGACAGTGTTCGGTTCCTAGGGCAAATCGTATTATCTAGGATCAGCTTTAGAAAAAAAACGTGGCTTCCTGCAGGGATGATTTTTACCTTTTTTCTGTAAAGTGTCATCTTGTCAAAGGAACATCTGTGGTCTTCATACTAGAGCTTGAGATGGTCTTTTTTGATAACCGTGGGCCAGACTAAGTAGACGTGTGTGTCATCTGCTTATTGCTGTCACTTGAGTCTGTGTTGTATCTGAGTTGAACTGGTCAGACGTGTAGACTTTGAAAAGAACTGAAGAGGAAATTGATCTGTGTGGCTTTCCATAAATGAGATTAAGTGATAGGGGAACAGTGTCTATTGCTATTTGTTGGATATGGCCCAGACATGGTCTTGTTCAAGTGAGACGACAGTATTTTAAGGTCAACAATGTTGAATTGCTACACAGCGGTTTAGAAGGATGAGAATAAATTACTATCCTTTGCACCCAAGGGATTTTCAATTTGTCCTGATCTGAGTTCAGATTGTATTGGGTCTATTTATTAACTTTAGTTGAATTTAACTTGTAGTTAACTTTTTGGGGGGTAAAGTCTCTCCTGAATATTGCTTTGTTTAAATGTAAAGGAAAACTGCAGTTCAACAAGATACTTAAACATTTGCTTCACTCAAATTTATTGAAATAATGTTCTGAACTGAGGTTTTAAAGTGTTTGGGAGGGA